AAACACTGAAATTTTGCCTATCTATGAAATTGAAAAATATTATTGACACTTGAACATTGTCACTTCAACATTGACACTTCAACATTGTCCAAAAAGTGATTCGTAACTAATAATGCACTTATTATTTGATTTCTCCTAGTTTTTCAGTTTTTTGGAGATCGAAGCAAAAGTTGGAGTCAGCTCAGTTAGCCAGTCCCATGATGACAAACTCTAGTATCTGATTGCTCTTTCCAAATTAATAATGATAATTAATAAATTGAAAATTTAGGCAGGGCCTTTATGAAACAACTCCATTTTTCTCTTTCAGCCATTCATATCTCTATAAGTCAATGCAAAGACTCAAAGGAAATTTTAATGAAATTTCCTTTTTTACTTTGAAAAGAAGAGAGCTATTTTTGCCCTGTAATTGGCATCTCATGCCAATTGTGTGAGAGACTGTTCATGATTGTAGCTATTTTATTCAACGACACCAAACCTCATCTTCCAGGACCGAGATACAGTGTTATTTAGTGTGACTAGAAAGGAGAAAACTCTTCTCTATTCGATATTTCATTTTGATGATTACAATAGTGTGTATGTCTCCTTAATGGTATTTCTAAAATTTTAATGCCAACCTCCTCCATTAAACCACCTTAAAGACCAAAACGGATGAGCAACATGAGTAACCGTAGCCTTGTCTTTACTCAAGGTTTCTTAAAGGTAACTGATCCTTGCAAAGACTTTCCTGCAGGAGATCCTAATAATTTCTTCCCTTTTTTAAGTCTTCTCAACAAAGTAGTTCACTTTGTCATGGAGTAAAGTTTCATGACTGCAGGCTAATTGGCTGTGAATTCTATTTGTATCATCACTGGGGAAGAGACCAATTAACACTTGGCAAGCTCAAAAAATCATATACCCATTTGACATTCAAAGAACTATATTTAATGTGTATTTCTTTTTCACTTTTCTTGAAGTCAGAGGAGAGATCAAACACATGCTCAAGAGCGGGCTAATAAATTCCTGTGTAGATTCTTTTCAACACTATTAAAATCACCAAGATCTGAAAGCCAATGAATACCTTAACATGACACATTACAACTGCCGTTTGCTCAAGAGGGGCAGATAAATTAAAAAGGAGGGGATTGAAAGGTAACTTGGTGAGTTAAAGGATTATATGATCATTTAGATGTCAATAGAAATGCCTTCGTTATTTAATATTTCATTTATTTGTTTAAGGAATCTTAAAGCATAAAAGAGGATAAAATGAAAGCTTGATCTTAAAGGAAACTCAGCAGGTAAAACTCGTATTCTTTGTAATAATTAGCATCAGTCCTCAGGATACGAGGCCAGACTGGATATGTGCTCCTTTTGTATCCAAGGCAAATGATTCTGAGAAAGAGCCAGATAATAAATGTTAATGAACACATGGCTGATTATAAGCATATGTCTGACAATCCATTGAGGAAGTTCATACTTTGCAGAGTGTCAGGAAGCGATAATTATCTCCCATGCTATCCAAATCAGTAAGTTTTTCAAGAACTTTTGTCTTAGTTATGATGAGACAACTTTTGGTGCAAATAATAGCATAGGCGTTTCTAAGGTAATAATGTTTCATTTTTCCCCTATTTTAGCATTCTGTAGTCTCCACTATAGACTAGAGAATGCTACCTGATTTCCTTACAGAACTCGAGGTTTAAACCCAAGCATCACCATTTTTAACTCTTTGACTTTGGGAAGGTATTTTAGTTTTTTGAACTAAAGTTTCTTCAACTATAAAAAGAAGATCATAGTATCTATGCAGTGTGTGGGTATGAGATTTAAATGAGATGATATATACAATAATCACAACATGTCAAAAGAACTCAAGAAATATCAACCATTATTAATGCTATTGTTATAGAATTGATTAATCCACAGAAGACTGAATTCAACTTCTTGAAGATACAGCCCCACTGAGAGAACTCAGTGTGGGGTGAGAAACTCCACCCATCTGAACCTTGAGAATAGGGACTCAACTAGGACCAGAAAGA